TTTTTTTCGTTCCTGGATGGTCTAACCGTTTTGATCTTTCTGAGGACTTGATTCTAATGTCATGAGGACGGCTTGAGAAACTGTGGACATACTCTTGTCCTCTGTCATCACAGTTGGAGGCAGAAGATGCTTTACTACACACGTTCTCTTTTAGTCTTAACGGCTCTTACTCTCTCTGAAGTCATAACATCTGCTTTCTCTGCCTATCTTTCAAATCTCCAATCTCTAATAGTTGTCTTTCCATCAACTGCATTTCTTTTAACTCTGCTAGAGTGATGCTGGAGCTAATTCCGCTATGCCTACTTACAAAATGGTTTGTTGTCAAATTCACCCGGAGCGATATTGTACAGAAGTAAAACATGTGTAAACATCTATACATGCTAGCCTTAATACGGATATAATCTTTCCTACAGGAAGGAAAAGTGGTGAAACGTTCGCAGTATTCTGTTAGAGAAGGCTTGAAGCTCAGTGCAGTTTGGTGGTTATTGACTGATACTGCTCTTGGTGTTACATCTCGAACAGGAAGTTTAGTCCTAACGTAGTTTGTATTTCTCAAACTTCTTCTGTGTTCGTACGCAACAAAAGTACCATTTCCGATCTATAGAATCTATCCTGAGCAATAAGTTTGGTAGATTACTTTTTTGAGTCTCGCCCAATTTAATAGTTAACTGTGGTTTTGCCTCGGCTGACTATTCGGTTTTTTTTTCGGTTTTTCACATAAAGGCTAGTTCATTTTATCTCATCCGTTCTTATACATTTTTCCGGTTTTTAGTGTGCTTTTCAGTGTACGGACCCTAGTCAAGCAAACTCTGACATTCGGGAATGGAAATTCACCAAACAGTCCTTGAGGCTCAAAAACATACTGACTCAGCATGTGACGAAACTAGCCAAGAAAGATGGGGATCCTGGACCCCGACTAATGAAAATAACTCTCCCATCATCCCATATGACGGCTGCAGCTCTGGAAGCATTTCGTGCCAACAGACGTCGGTTGCCAACTGGGATCCGCATGCAGCCGGACAGGCCATATGACGCCAGGATCAAGCACAAAGGCAATTTGGAGCTGATCATTCCACTTGTGGACTGTCTTGAAGATAAAAAAAACGTGTAAAGGACAGGGCCTACCGATTCGGCAAACCTTATATAGATAGGCTACCTGTCCACTCACGTAAGGCTCTCACAGACAAACTGGAAGAAGCTCACGCGTTTCAAATGTAAGCATTAACTGCTTATACACGAACGCCGCGAGTCTACCAAATAAAATGGATGAGCTACGTGAACTTAGCAATGCCAGTAAGGTTCATCTGATAAAAATATATGAAACTTGGATATCTTCTCAGTTTTCGGACCAGGAGCTAGCAATACCTGGGATGTCTCTGTTTCGCCATGACAGAAAAACAGGAATTGGGGGTGGAGTAGCCCTATACATGCGATCTGGCTTGGAGGTACACCAAGTTCACAACCATGAGTTTAACAATCTTGAGGAATCCATACGGTGCTCTGTGAGATTGTCCACTACTTCGAGGTGCTTGGTTGGAGTCATATATAAGAAGCCCACTGCCGACATCGAGTATGACAGTCGTATGCTGGAAGAACTATCCCACTCCACGCGTCTCAGTTTCACTCATATCCTGATTCTAGGGGACTTCAATCTCCCTAGAGTCAACTTCGCGGAACATAAGTATATTGGAGGTGAAAATTCAATCGAAGCTCGGTTCTTCAACCTCATTGAGGATTCGGGATTATATGAAAATGTGAAGTCGGCTACTCATTGGAGGAACAGTCGGACACCTTCACGCTTAGACTGTGTATTTACAAACGAAGAATTTCTAGTTGACAACCCCTCAATTCTGGCTCCCCTGGGGAAAAGCGATCACGCCGTTATAGCTTTCAGTTTTGTCAGCAAAACTGAGCTAAGATATCCCAACAACAACAAGCGCTGGAATTTCAAACGGTTCAATGTGTCAGCTCTACAGAACTATCTACAACAGGTGGATTGGGATGTTCACCCTCAACTTGATGTGGATGCTCAGTGGAACACGCTCTTATATGATACAAAGCAGTCAGTCCCTCAATCGGTCCCCAAAAGCCACATGCAACCTACAATCATCAAAAACCACACTCTTCGTTTTTTAGGCCGTAAAAGGCGCTGTCGGGCAGAGTACAAACGAACTGACAACAACAGCGCGTACAGGCAATACAAACATATAAGGAACATATGCACGAAGGCTATAAGAGAAGACGGGCTTCAGTACCAGTTAAGGCTTATGGATAAATTTATTTCCAATCCGAAAAGCTTATTTCGTTACGCAGCCTCTCTTCGTCAAGCCAAAACTGGAGTTTCTCAACTACTAGGTCTTAACGGCCTGACCGATAACCGACCCACATCAACTATACTGATGACGGCTTCATATGCAACTGCACAGGACTTTCCGTAGTGAACCTGAACGCTGACTTGGTGTTCCGAAAACTGCAGCATCTAAGAACAGACACTTCTCCTGGTCCAGATATGGTTCACTCTGCTATACTGAGGGAAGCAGCTTCAATCCTGGCAACACCGCCTAGCGTGATGTTCTCACACTCGCTAAGTCGAGGAAAACTACAGGAAAATTGGAAGCTGACTCATATCGCACCAACCTTCAAGGGAGGTCGACGCAGAGAACCTTCAAGTCACCGACCGGTGGCTCTTCTCTCAAAAATCATGGAGTCCTTGATATACGATGGTACACACGACTATCTGTTGTTCTTAAATTTCTTCTCACCCCAGCAGCATGATTTCAGGAAGGGTTACTCCTGTATGACGAACCTGCTGACCGCGGTGGACAGATGGACAAGCATCCTTGATCTCAAGGGGAAGGTGGATATCATTTACCTTGATTTTTCAAAAGCTTTTGATAGGGTTAGTCACATATGTCATATCAATAAGCTCAGACAATTGGGTGTCAAACCACCTTTAATTGATTGGTTCAGTTCATATCTGACAAATCGACATTTTAAGGTCAAGGTAAACTTCAATGTATCACACGCTATGGAATGTTCCAGTGGGGTCCTCTAGGGCTCGGTACTAGGACCTCTTCTATTCCTGATTTATATAAATGATCTTCCACAACAGTTAACGTCAGACTTATTACTTTTTGCCGATGACGTGAAACTTTGGAGAGAGATACGCAACCAAGAGGGTTTACAGGCAATTCAGGAAGATCTGACTCGACTTCAAAGCTGGGCAGACGACAACGGACTTACCTTTGACACTTCAAAGTGTAAAGTAGTCTATCTGAGGCACATCGCAGACTACAGTTACAACTTATGAAACTCCTCTTTAGTAGTATCCCAAGTCGAAAAAGATTTAGGAGTTCTGGTGCCCTACAACTTAAAGTCTTACGCCAACTGTGACAGAAATGCCTTTCGAGCAAACCTTGCACTGGTAACATTGAAGCGCATTTTTGGTCAGTTTGACGGTAGAACTTTCCACATAATCTTCAATAGTTTTATTCGTCCTTATTTAGAGTACGGAAACATAGTATTTCCTCCTACATTCCAAAAGGATAAGGACACTCTGGAGCGTATCCAACGCAAGCCACGAAACTAGTTCGGGGACTCAAATTTTAACCCTACAAAGAGCGCCTCCAATCACTTGACCTTTACCCAATAGAGTATAGGCGTCTTAGAGGTGACCTTCCAATGTCTTACGGTATCCTTAACACTTCTGGTCATTCTCTTAAACACCTACTTAAGCTTGGTCCCAACACTAACCTAAGGAGTAACACCCAGAAATTAGAGATACAACATAGTAGAACGGACTGCAGGCACAACTTCTACTCCTTAAGGGTTGTCAAATGCTGGGACTCGCTGCCGGCTGAGCTAGTCGAATCAACTTGCCAGGAGTCCTTTAAGAGGCGACTTGATCTATTCTTAAGGACTAAGGATAGTGTCTTACTATGATTTACCAATTTCTTTTTTCTGTTTTATCGTTAATATACGTAGGTTCTTGCCTGGAGGTATTAGTGATCCCCTGCGAAAGCTTCTTCTATTCCGTCCACAACCACTTGAACCATTTGAACTCCTCCAAAGAATAGCCATTTACGTTCTCCTTCTAATTCGGAAGAGATAAAAGAAGGGTTATACCTCACCGCAAACGATTATATTCAGCTGACCCTGAGGTTCTGACTCAGAGAAAAAACGTTTTTTTTTTATTTTTGTTCAACATAGTTTGACATGTGAAAGTTTGCGCACTCTTAATTATGTTAGCTGTGACCTTCAGAGTCGTGGTCTTAACGACTTCATATATTTGTCCCCTGTGTATTCTTTAGTAGATAGCCGATATCCCTTGGTACAAATAAAAATGTACTTCTATATATTTATGTATATATATCCAAATATCATGACTTGATGACCCGTGAAAATGGCGATCTGTAGATAGAAACACTAATATGACTATTTCTCCCTGTAGCACGTGCTTCGTAATAAAAGTACTTTAACTTCAAGGGGACCATTCGAAGTTTCGGAACAAGTAACTGCTATTATCAATACTGATTTTAGTACACGTCAGTGTCCACGGCCAAGGACAACTGCATGGATCTAATCACCATTGAGGTCACCACCTATGAGATTGACTCAGTTTGTGGAATCCTTTGCTCCCCGTCTTTGTTTATTGTTTTGCACTAGTGACTTGTTCGAAATCATAAATATTATTAAGACCACATGAAAAGGTGGACATTGGACATCTATCAAAGTCCCTGTTATCCACAAATTAGAGCTAATAGATTACGTTTGTGCTTAGTTTAAAGACTGAAGCTAATACGTACCATTCAGCTTCTAGGAATCAGTTGAAACCTTGTTTTATGAACACCGATCAGCTAAATTCCTTAATTTTCAGATCTGGGGATCATGACGTTTTGACTGAGTGACAAAAGGTTCGGTGTCCGTAAGCAAGATTAATCCCATCAGTAATTATAAAAAAGCGGTCTCTAAGTGTCACTATTTCCATTTGAATAGAATTCATGTGGACTCCTCCAGTTAGTGATAATCCCACACCTTTCAACATTGAGCGAGAGCTGCTTCCTACTGTAATTTCGGAACCATCATCCAAAACATCTAGTATATCTTCAACTACTAACACTTTGGACCGTGATTCGTTAAAGGAGAACTACCCACAATATACTCCACAAAACGTCAGATACCAGCACTACCCAGTTCCGGTAATTAAAAGTACTTTGTTTTTCATGTTCCATCTTATGTATATGAGATATATTCACACAGGTTAGTTGTCACTTCACTTTATTCTCGTAGACTTTTCCTATCCTTCGCTCTACACACAATTTGTTATCTAGTGCTCGATGAATTAATTGAGATAGACCCGAAGTTGAAATTTCCAGAATATCCTCCTAGGTATTAGTTACAAAGGTTATTTCACTTATACAAAGAACCGTAATGCAGTCGGTCTGCTTACTTTCTGTAATAATTGCTTGATTGATCGTCCATTTTAATACAGCTTATTAAACGATGATTATTATTGATTTATAGACGAACACTGATGACTCCATCCATTAATTATAACTGATAACCAGATACATTGATCTGTACATGGTTATTAGCAGATGACATAGTCCTGTTTGGGCAGATGACATAGTCCTGTTTGGTGAAGACGCTGATGAAATGCAGAGTCTTTTGGTAGCACTGAGCAACAATGCTAGAATGTTTGGGATGCGCTTTTCTCCCTCTAAATGCAAGTTGTTGCTTCAGGACTGGTCTGCATCAACACCTGAACTAAGGATAGGGGGTGAAGTAGTCGAACGCATTGACAACTTCACTTATCTTGGAAGTCTGATCAGCCCTAATGGGTTGGTGTCTGACGAAATCTCAGCACGGATTCGAAAAGCTCGTTTGGCCTTTGCCAACTTACGTCATCTATGGCGAAGGCGAGATATCCGTCTATCAATTAAGGGACGAGTATACTGCGCGGCAGTTCGTTCCGTCCTTCTATACGGCTGCGAAACATGGCCTTTAAGAGTGGAAGATATTCGTAAGTTACTAGTATTTGACCACAGGTGCCTTAGAAATATTGCGGGTATCTGCTGGGATCACCGGGTAAGTAATAGTGAGGTTAGACGCAGGGTATTAGGGAATGATGGTAAATGAGTTGATGAGGTTATGAATCTTCATCGACTGAGATGGTTGGGCCGCGTGTTGCGTATGCCTGAACACCGATTACCACGACGCGCAATGCTCACTAGTGTTAGGGATAATTGGAAGAAAGTTAGGGGCGGCCAAACCAAAACGTGGCATCAGTGCTTGAAGTCACTAACTTCTGGTCTGAGCCATGTTGGGAGATTCAGACTGCCTGGTTGGGGTCCGCGTGACTATCGTAACCAATGGTTGGAGACTCTTGGTGACATGGCTCAGAATCGATCACAATGGCGTCAGTGTATACACTCTCTGTCTTCCTTAAATTAAGAGATTAAAATCGCTTCATATCTGTCTAGGAACTAATTCTTTCTTCCTTTACTATCTCCTTATACACAATCTTTCTTCTATATATTACCACCACTGAATTAACTACTTCTATGAATCCGGTGTTCATCTTGTTGTGCTAATGCGGTATGGCAACTTGGACCGATGCATATACGTGCCTGGTCCTACGTTGCAGCTGACTGACTGACTGACATGGTTATTAAGTAATGGAAAGCTTGTCTAAATGTTATTACATATGTCTATAAATAATACACTAGTCATCCAGGTATGGGATGACTTTCAATTTAAGTTGCTACACCATGTCAACATACAGAAAGAGTAAGCCGATAAGAAATAAGGAACAAATTGACATCACTAATGTAAAAATAAATAGAATTATATTCTAGAGACAGTAAATAAAATCAAAGGACAAAAGTTACTAAGTAACTTTAAGCTCATAGTTTGGATTCGTACTAACTCGTACTGTTATTAAAAGTTGCCAACTTAGTTGTTTATAGAAAGGGTTTATTTCACTAATTGTTTCATATTTTATGAATTTGGGTTTTTGTTGGTGTAAGCCCTCTCCATTTTCAGTTTTTCGACCTAAAACCTGAATGGAGGCAGTCATTTAGGAACCCAAAAGTAAGTGATAGGTGGTGCTTATAGCAGCTTTAGTAACCAGCCTGTTTCCGTAAAATTTTATCGTTTCATGGATTGTATGTTAGAATTCGTATAGCTTACTATGATTTTCTATCCATCAATTCAACTCGAACTTATCGATACGAATATTGCCTTTCAAAGTAAATATTCGGAAAAAAAATCCGACTACTTCATTCGTTGCTGAACTAGTTTATTTAGGTGTTTATACCTTTAGGGATTGTAAAGCGTTTGAATGTGGTTCAAATAGATATTAGTTAAAGCCTAGTAATTAAAGTTTTGTCTTTACCTAACATTTATGTTGCTCGTGTTAAAGTTCTGATGCCTGATATAGCTAGAAATGTTGGGAGCAATTTGACAATTAGCAAAAGTTTGAAGGTGTAATAAATGTGTTATGTAAACACCGATTTACTGCGTGCATATATTCTTATATGAGTGGTAAATATATTGTCTATTTACTCTATTCTCTGATGACATGAAGTTGTGTGCAACCACCCTATTAATGAAAAACAATTTATCTCACATAGATGAGTAACTAATTTATAGCGTGAACAGGTAGCTAATGATATCATCGTCTCTTATTTTAAGCATTTAAAATTCCAGTTTTTGATAATAGACAAGCTTTATGTAAAGTGATCATCTCAAGAGCAGTTGATAAGAAGAGTATATTGTAGAAAAGTGTGTGCTATGTAATTTCAATGTTTCAGTCTCTGGCTGAGCATAAGACAAAACAAAGTCCAATGAATCTAGCCAGTGATTACCACATTAGTAACAAAACCACGGTTTTATGGCTAATAGTACGCATTTTTTTAGAAATGAAGTACAATTCAGAAGATACAACTTTTTGGAACATTGTTCTAAAAGAGTGCTAAAATGCAAATTCAACATTGTTTCGTTGATTCAAGTAGATTTACTGAAAGCTCATTAAGGAGGAATGAAAATTAAGCTATTTGACAATGTTATACTTACCACGTACTTTTACTACCAGTCATACGTAATGTTTTTGAAACATTTTTTTCAGAAGGTTAGATGCTTATCGTTCCCATACCAAACACTTCCCTCCTGTGGGTCGGTAGTGTATTTGTATACGTGGTCTCTCCCAAGGAATGACATAATAACTCAGTTATGTTCACTTGCTACAACCTGTTTTAAAGACACAAACACGACTGTCGGACTTTTGTTTTCTAAACAAATATCCAAAGTAATTATATGTGCATGAATATCTGTGAATTATTTGTTTCGATTTTTTGACTAGGTATTTTATGGTACGTTTTTCTGCTTATCAACGTGATTGTGCAATTAACAGGCTATGGTGGTTCTAATTGGCTTCATAATTCAAACTTATTTTTCCAAGATTTAGTTAACAAAAAACGTTCTTTATAGTCTTCACATTTACTAGTTTAAAGCGATCTACTATGTAATGTCTGCTTTTAGCAAATGTTCAGTTGTCAATAGTTAGCTAGTTATGTGTCATAATCAAACCTCCGTATTGGTACGATTTAACGTTGATGCATAATTAGATTATGCAAGACTTTTGTCCCTGAAATCAATGCCTATTCGTATGAGCCATTTAGTGAGGTTCAAGATTCTTCGTTTGCTTCCACATGGTAATTAGAATCAGTAGTTGGAGAATAGATTACACGACTGAGAATCGGTCGTAGTGATGTCAATAGTTACGAACCTAGCCTTTGATCCACTGACTTTGTTTATCGCTTTTATCTCATCTGTTGTCCTTTAGCTATTTTACCGTTATTTTTTTCTTATTTATATATTTATTTGAACACATAAATATTGGTACAGGGGGGCGCCAAATATATATGCGCCACACAAAACAATGATAATTTAAGAGGAGAAATATATATATATATATATATGTATAAATTAATGAACGTGGGGAATTATAAAAAACAAGAGGGAGAGAACAATGATGGGGAAAACGGAAAGGTACAATCAGAAGAAATCTTTCAGTTAAGGAAGATACAACCACTTTTTATGAAGAAAGTAAAAGAAGGTTACAGCAGGATCGCCACTGGCTTCTATTCTGAGCCATATCTGATAACGTCTCTAGCCACTGCGTTACACCGTCTCTCGGACCCCAGCCAGGGAGTCGTGAAGGACCAACAGAAGCCAGCCCTTTGCAGCTTTCTTTCATACCACGACACCACGTCATACACTGACCACCTCTCCGCTTTTTACAACCAGTCCCAGAGTCGGCAAATAATGCACGACGAGGAATTCTCTGGGACGACATTCGTAGAACATGTCCAAGCCACCGAAGTCAGTGTTTCAAGATGGTGACACCAATTTCATTATCGTCTCTGTTACCGAACACACGATGCCAGACCTCTGCATTACTGACATGGTGTTGCCACTGGATGCCAGCAATTCTTCGGAGACAACGATGATCGAACACAGAGCGTCGTCTAACATCCTCAACTCGGAGAGGCTTATGGAAAATATTCCCTTCTCTCTGATTAACATTTTTTTCTTGGTTTTCTGCCTATTGAATTTTTGCGATTTTAGTATGAAGTACAGTAACTACAACCATCTTGCATTTGAAGGAGGTTCTGCGCTGCTTATGTTCGTCTGTCAAACCAGAATATACTATTATTCCATGAAGCTGATCACTATAGGTTCTATTTTTTCAAAAGGCTAGTGACCTTCTAAGTCAGTTACCAGAAATGACATTAATCTGTTTGGAAAGGGTAAACATTATCCATCAAATTAAACCCTACTAGTCTAAAGATAATTGCCGTCGAAAATGAACCATTTCTATATGAAATCTACCTCATTAAGTCGTAGGTAAACCTCGGCTTCCTAAGTGTCCCCAAACACCCCAGTACGACTGAGGGTGGGGAAAGTCAGCTCTTCCTCTCAAAATACTCTCACATAGCCATGCGTATACAGCCTCTGCGGGGGAAATCCTACTAACTGCCTTCTCGCGGCAGGGGTGTTGTTTACGAAACTGAGAGGACGAAAAGCGAATGCCCGGCACTTTAACCGGGTTAGCGGACACAGGGGTTCACCTAGAGGAGTTGGGAAATCCTGATTCCAAACCAATGGTGCACATGAGCTCCAGGATCCTGGAGGAACAGATAGTGTGTGAACCAATTACTGGTCACCGGCTACCACGGGACTGCATATCCTTACGTTGTTCCACTGCCTTGTCGATCAGATCTTTAGGTCGAAGGCTCGGGGTGTGGCCCTCCCAAAAAACCACCTGCTTCGGTTTGGGCACCCAGGCAGTATCACAGCCCTCACACAAATCAAATAAGATTTGTGTGCCGCATATGTATTTGGTGCCTCCTTGTACCAATATCTATGTGTTCAAATAAGTAAATGAATTTTCTAAAAAATTACTATTAGTCAAACAAAGTCCAGTCTAAGTTTTATACATATGATTTAGAGTACTCATTTTATTTTGAACTCACTGCTAATGGTTTACGTAATTTGTGGTAGAGATCATAAAGGTCTTCCAATGTATTTTATCATATCACTGCTATGAGTAAGTATACTAATACCGAATAAGAGTTTGTGTAGATATTTCGAAAGTCATGTTCATAACATCCATCTTACACCCTGACAATTCCCGCCATCTAAAACCTTCCTAAATACAAGACTAAAATACAAGAATAGATTTGTTGTTTCGGCATAAACTCAATCCAGTACATTTCGTTTTAATGACCCCCTATTTTTACACTTAATGCTCGAATAAACCTTTAACAGGTTCACTGACCTCTGTCAGAAAGTTCAAAGAAACCAAACTAATTACCTGTCTGCTATTTTCATGTCGCCTTAGCCTTGAGAAGTAATGGGTTGGTTTGGACGAAACATAGACGGCACGAGTAAGGTATTCATGCTACTGATGTCGTGGTTTTAAGTTGACACTTATTGGGTTATATGGAATACACGTTTTATATCTGACATCACTCGCTCGTTGTTTCCATCAGCTGTGAGCTATCGTTTTGTGATAACAATTATCTAACACAGAGGTCAAACATCTTCGACTCCGGGGTCAGGTTTTATAGATGTTGAACAAAAATTTACATCACACACCATTACACGGCTCACCCTCGGAGAGGTATCTCTATGGGACGAAATAGACTGAAATTATCATAAATCAAGCTCAGATTCATTTTTCACACCAATATATATATATATATATATATATATATATATATATATATATATATATATATATATATATGCTGTTTTCCTTACGCGCGATTTGTCCTTTATTTTAAAGGTACTGCTTGTTGGTTTGGGCATCACTGACCTATGAATTCCAAGTTCGAACTCGCATAACTGATTTTTGAGCACTTAATTAATATTATTAACACTACATAATTAGTATGGTTAACGTAGCTCTGATTTAAAAACTCATATGGTTATCGAATCATATTCTGTTTCATTTATTGACAATATTTCATCAAAAGAAATCAAAAAGTTCTCAAAGGACAGCTTATTAACACATTTTTTATTTTCTCTCATTTTAAAATACCAATAGAAAGACTACGTTTGTCGAATTCCTCTCTACCTAACTCGCGGTATGGCTCGTTCACGTGTTCGATTAACGGGAAAACTTACACTAAATAAGAAAGAATTAGAGTGTGTCGAATCAGCTCATCATGTTATAGCCGAATTAATTACAAATATTGCTCATATGTCTCATGTTGGTTATAAACCATCAGATCCTCTTCTCCGTGCCCATTTTGATAAACAAAACTCCTCAACGAATATCCCCGAATCTCTCCGCGTCGTACTTTTTGATCGATTCGGTGACTTATCATTCAATCCCGAGAAAGCAAATATCCTGTCATTGGTGACGCTGATTAGACTACCAGGTAAATCGTACAAACTGTTTAGTTACATGATACTTTTTAGAACTTCTTCCGTGTTAGTGTTAGTATTAAAATGGATGTTGTTTAGGGTTTATAGAAATGGAATTAATATTATAATAAGTGGCATGTTTAGAGCAATTAGTGTTTTAGCTATATACAATATAAAAAGGTTTCTGTAACGTAGTGGTGAAAAATCGTAGGCGAATACGTGCTGAAATAACTGGGCACAGGTGAGTAATGAGTTAGAATAAGTCAGTTTTTGGAATGAAATTGCAAATTGGAAAAGAGTCGAAAAATATTACGGTGAAGAAATGAAAAGGAGCCTGATGTTATAAAAATAAGCTTTATGTCCCTAGGCCAAGAAGAGAATGACAACCACTTCCTATGAACACAGATCAGGTTTCTTAGGTTCGGTACCTGTAACTTCAATGTTCCGACACATATTGTTTCTTATTGTGATCTGATTTGCCGTATGATAACTTACCTTAACTTTTACGGATAAGCCAGACAATCATGAGATTTATTTGCGTATTTGTTCCTGTGTGTTCTAATTGAGAAGAGATCTAGTCCCAGTTGTTATTTTTCCCGAACTCCTACTGTTTATTAAACTTTGTTGGTTCATACGAATTGTTTTGTGTTCATTATGTTCCGTGAATCCCCTGGTTGGGAGCGTCATAATTGATGGCTGTTAATTTATTATTCTAATTGTATCTGTATTTACAGATCTTCATTGCAGTCTTTGGAATGTTCCAGTTGCCTCTTGAATATAACGAATAAATCTGGTGTATTTAAAACTCGAAACTTCCACGGTATGAAAATATCAGGACATCCCCGAGAAGGGAAATAGTCATAGTATTAGTAGTAGAAACGACGACAAGAGGCGCGGGAAGGTTTTGAAACTAAGGATGTAAGGGGTGACGAAGGGTAAATGCATCTGCACGTCGCAGTTGATCCTAGACAGTTTTATCCATCGTTTCCTACTAGTGGTTATGCTAAATGCGTAAACCCCAACCAGGTAGTCTGCGCCTATCTACATGGGTTGGTTCAATTACCAATGACGTTATGGGTTGATGCTAAGTTTTAGTTTGGCCGCCTGTCTTTCATCTAACCTACTTCTAGACCAATGTTGCGCATCGAGGTAGGAGGCAGTTGGGCATACGTGACACATGTCCCAATTGCCTCAATTAGTGAAGATCCACCACTCCATTGCCCAACTTACCATTTTCGTTTTCAGCCTTATCTCTAATCTCAATATTGCCCACTCAGTGTTTCCAACACATACGCGCAGTATTTCAAGGATACCTACGTACACCCTTTGTCGTTGGTGACGTTTCATATCTATAAGCTAGGACAGATCGAATTGCCACACAGTATGCTGGTTTTTTAGCTGTGAGATCGACATCTGCTCAATGAGATAATTATTTATTAATGTATTCATATATTTCCATTAGTTTCTGCCTCTGTGTAATTAGATTAGTCTATCATATCGACCCATTTTCTTTACACTAACTGATTTATTTATTTATTTTTTTGAATGGGGATTTGTGGAGATGGTAGTAATGTTCTACAGTTAAATTCATGAGTCGATCTAAGCTAGATCACCATTGAAAGCCTGGAAGCACCGGATGTCTGTTTCGTTCTGGTAAGGGACTCCTCAGCAGCTTAGATCGACTCATTAATTCAACTGTTAACATCACTACAATCTCCACAAATCCCTATTCTGATAATAATCATGTGCTCACTAGTGACTATTTTCAAGATGAATTTCCTGGAATTCTAATGAGAAGTCGTGACCAGCTGAATCTAATCTGTGTCGGGTGTGAAACAGTTGTCCATCAATGGATGTAGGGTTGCACAAGATCACTGGTTGGTTGAAGTTCATGCGCGAGACCGAAGGTCCTGGGTTCGAGTCCCCCGTGCGGAATCGTGGATGCGCATTTCTGAGGAGTCCCATATCAGGACGAAATGGCCGTCTGGTGCTTTCAGGTTTTTACTGGTGATCTAGCTTAGATAGACGCATGAATTCAGCTGCTAAGATTTATTTATTTGTTATGGTCTTATCAATGACAGCGAGTATCTCAGTGTTATAATTGCTAGGTAATATGTTTTCTTACGGGTGAGTAATGTTACGTGGTTCTGATATGTGTAGTATATTCCGATAGTGCTAGAGTCTTCATCGTGTATGGTTAGCATTTTATTGTGGTAGAGCGTTAAGGTAGTGGTATGGTTTTTTGAAGTGCGTAAGAAGGGTAGGTTGGGAAAAACGACATGTGCAATTAATCTAATTTTTAATTATGTTTAATCGAAATCATAAAACGACCATTGTTAAACCATCATTGAAGGCTTGGAAGGACTGGACGATCGTTTCTTCCTAGTACGGCACTCCTCAGCAGTGAGCATCCACGATCGTGCACACGAACGCTTAACCTCTAAACCACTGAGCCAGCGTCCTACAGTGTTAATGTTCAACTTCAATCAATCCACGATTTCAATTATGCTCCAATCAGGTGAATAAGACCCTATCTTTCACTGTGTAACTGTCTAAGAATCTCTGTTAATCAATCAACTTTCAGGAATACAGAAATCTCGTATGTTCGTGAACTTTATTCGTGCTCTTCCTTTACCAATTAATTTTTACTTATTGTACACATTTCCCGCCACTACTGTATAGACGTTTACTTTCATCTTAAAATTACTAATTAACAGCATGTAGGTATCTGTTTTTCGTAGTTTAACCAAGAAATGTCTTGTTTCTCTGGTCGTAAGTTGATCATAGGTCACATTTTAACATATTATGGTCAGATCTGGTTTTACTGCGATTTGAAACTGATTTATATAGTTATCTCTTATTTGAAAACCTAAGTAGGCTGTTTCGTTTATTTATTTATTTGAACACATAGATATTGGTACAAGGAGGCACCAAATACATATGCGGCACACAAATCTTATTTGATTTGTGTGAGGGCTGTGATACTGCCCGGGTGCCCAAACCGAAGCAGGTGGTTTTTTGGGAGGGCCACACCCCGAGCCTTCGACCTAAAGATCTGATCGACAAGGCAGTGGAACAACGTAAGGATATGCAGTCCCGTGGTAGCCGGTGACCAGTAATTGGTTCACACACTATCTGTTCCTCCAGGATCCTGGAGCTCATGTGCACCATTGGTTTGGAATCAGGATTTCCCAACTCCTCTAGGTGAACCCCTGTGTCCGCCAACCCGGTTAAAGTGCCGCGAGAAGGCAGTTAGTAGGATTTCCCCCGCAGAGGCTGTATACGCATGGCTATGTGAGAGTATTTTGAGAGGAAGAGCTGACTCTCCTCACCCTCAACCGTACCAGGATATCTAGGGGCAGGATGTTTCTTGCAATCTAACTGGCAGACTTATAGTGGTGTCGTTAGATGCAACCTAACCACCATCTACATCAGTGCAATGTTAACCTATATAGATATAGGTTAGAAGAAGGCTAGTAGCGGTCAGACCAAAATGTGGCATCAGTCCATGAAGTCATTGAGCTGAGCCACTTAGGTAGTTGTAGAATATCTGGTCATGACAGCGTGATTATCGTAACCAGTAGTTGGAGACTTTGGATGACGTTGGCAAAATCGTTTACGAGGGAACAGGTGGATTCATCCTTTGTCTTCCCCTGAGTTTCAGGTTCCTAAATTCCTCATAACTTTTTATTTCACTAACTTATATTTTCTTCGTCTTTTTGTAAAGCCCATGTTTCCAAATTCCTCAACCACTTTTCACTAATTATGTTATGTTTTCTTGAATCGTATCCTCGTTGCCCAATCTTGTTTGTTACCATTGATATTATTGCTATCTCAAGTACTCTGGGATTTGACCTAAACTCTTCGTTTTGTTGTACCACTGCGGTTCGGCGAATTGAACCGATGTACATAATTACCGGGTTCTGCGTTTCGTTCGATTGACTATTTGAAATTAGAATTCATACTAATAAGCTCTTGGTTTTAAAGCCCAAAAAGTTTTTTTCACCCAGGATTAAGAAACAGCTTTTTCTGCCTTGTGTAATTTTAGCGGAATATGAATTGTGTTGGAGCGCACTGATCGATCATTTCTTAGCTAATTCGCGCCAGCGGATACTTGGAGAAAGCTTCTTGCTTAAAATTTCAAATATGCTAACGCTTTTCTTATTATAATTCTTACTCCTATTCTATCTTGTTTATGTGAAATATAATTGCGTTCCTGTTCAACTGTGTTCTGATTTGAGGACTTATCGAGTGAAGTAGTGTTCTAATAACACTTAGCAATCACAGTAGCTGGGTCATTATAAGAGAGATCATAACAAGTATAGTCAAAGATAATCTAATATACGTTTACTGGTTATTGAATCTATGTTGTCATTAGTACGTTTTCACTATACGTATTGTATTTCATTCGTTTTTTGTCCTTATCAGTTATAACCATATAAGATGCTCATTTTTGTCTGTGAAAATAGTCGCATTTATGGCCGTTTTACATTGTATTGATGGATAGTTAATTTTCGGTTAGACAAAATAAAGACAATGCACGTATAACAGTTTTGTTTTCTACGAAATTGTTTAGTATAGTTTCGTATTCGTAGTTACTTTACATGTAGTTGCCTACGATAAAAGCAGAAGTTTACTTTTGATATATCCGTTCATCAGATATCTATTGAAGAATATAGTTTATTGTTCACTTGAAGGGATATTTTCCTCATTCCCGATAATCGAGTTTTCCAGATTGTTTTGCACCTCAGCGTGTATTCACCAGTGTACTTGTCCTTGTGAAGCATGCTGTAGCGGGTCCACAAACTGTGCCCCTTCCAAGCGCTTATCCGGAAACTACCTAGTATAGCTATACACAGGTAATTGCAAATCGGTTATTATTTCCAAAAACTTGGATTAATTTTGATTTGATTGTTTATTCTCTAATGAAGTAGCTTACATTGAGTCACAAAATGTCAGGAAACCTAATTTTTCTACTCATTGGGATATTACAAATATATTATTTATTTATTATTCCCATTGTTGAATATATGGTCATATACCTCAGCCAGAATGTTCATATGCAATTATTCACTAAGTTTGAATAACTTGTTTTAAAGAAAACTGGATGAAAAATCTATACACAATAGAGGCTTTGGCAATTTTATTAATTTAATCCTGGTCTTTGTGGTCAGAAGCGGCGTCCAATCTCCCATTTTACTGTGGTCCCAACACACTTTTCTTATTTTATAAGTTGTTTTTGATACATGTTTTTCTCTTCTTATTCGACAGGTGGACAATCTCTCACATCTAAATATTTCTATTCTTATTACATCGACTATTACGCAACTTTATCAGACACTTGAAAATTTTTGGCTAACTTTTGACACTTCAGTCAATCACTTTACACCTTTCTGTTATATTATAGACTGTTATGCATAAAATAACCAGGAATACGGTTGTACAACTTTTGTAATCGATATCGTCGGAAAGCAGATTTTCTCTGAACTGTCTTTATTTTGCTTAATTTCGGTTCAAAATAGATGCTTATGAATTAGAATAATAATTCCGGTAGAAAAAGTTGCCGTTAAATCTACCTTGTAACCCTTGTTTCTTACATATTTATTAGAGATCATGAAATTCAGTTTGTTCTCTACCTTACATTGGAAATTACATGGCATATCTTATGATTGTGCAAGATACTTTTAAATGCTAATGCTGAATATATTTTATGTGCCTTGTCATTTTAGATTATACTATCGATTATGAAGCACTCAACGCACTTCTAGAATGGTCTCTTTGCCGAGATAATAGAATTTCAACAGCTGATGATAATTTGTCCACTCATGTTAAACCTGTACATGGTATTGTGCCTAAATGGCGAATTCGCTTGAGTCAAATTCCTCAAGACAATTGGGTTGGTTTGGTCGTCAAACCTAATCACTTACCGGATAGTGATCCTGGTATGTTTTCTATCTCAAAGGTTAGTTCGGAAACTGCTTCAAGTCCTCTTCCGGAAACCCTTGCTTCCAAACTTGGTGATGCTCAGAATGTTAAAGGCGCTTCTTCTCTAACTTATTCCGACTACTATAGAATTAAACATCAACATATGAGAACCATATCTTTCACAATAAATCCCTCACTACCATTGTTTGAATGTCTGAGAATAACACGTCATCAAAATTCGACTCAAGTTAATGCTGGTCTAAGGAAAAATAAAGCATCTATCAAACCATCAGTGTTCTTATCTGATGCTTGTTTAGTGCATCCATTGTCATCATGGATTTGGTTCCAAGTTTCCTTGATACCAACAATTCTCTACCAAATGTCACGAGCGTTACTAGCTTCACAACTATTTACAGAGTTGAATTATGAACTGAAAAGTCCTCAACCATTCTCTCAAATTAGAATAAATTCATTAACTATAAGCAATGATTCACTTTCTCATACAACCATACTTGTCCCTGATCGTTTAAGTGTTCCTGTTTTTTTGAATGGTGAACCAATGGAACGAAATAACTTTGATTTTGAAGTGGATAGAACAACTTCAGAAATAGATAAAGAATTGGATAATAAAGCCCATAGTGAAAGTTTAGAGAAATCTACAATTTGCCCTCACCCTAATAATCTAATTGAACCAACTACATTACTCGGAGCTCGAGATGCAGTAGATCTTGAACGTTTAGAATTTTATGGTGATTCATTCCTGCATTTTATAGCTACATTATGTGTTTATGGCACCAATCCACAAGATGCTGACGAAGGGTGTTTAAGTTCTAAAAGAGGTTCACTTGTATCGAATGCTCATCTCTGCGATATTGCTTGTGACTTGAAATGGTATGAATATTGTACCGGTCAAACATTTTCGCCACCAGAACACTTTTTACCCCCATGCTATTCTGTTGCATCCGAGGTTAGTGACAAATTAAAGTTTCTTTACTTACGTCCCAAAAATTTCACTTATTTGTTCCTGATTTGCTTTATTGAATATATATATATATATATTCAATAAAGAAAATTTTGCAGTTCTTTACTTTACCATATTATATAGCTTCTATTTTCTTACTTTCAAGTATTTTCATATAACGTTTCCCAATTGATACATAATGAAGTCTGTTATTTAGTCGCGTATTCTTTTTTTGTGTACACTTACGTGTATCCATTTAAACACACATGAAGTTCGATAAATCGGGAAGTCGCATTGCATTACATTGAGCCTAGGCCCAGTTATATTTACATTTTAACAAACAGGACAATCAAAGCCTTTGACAGTGGAGAATTAGAACTCAACCTTTAATTAGTTATCTTCTCAATTTCCTTAGTCTCATCTATCAACTTCACTTATCTATCTTTGATTGCCCTCTTTAATTGAAGTTCTATGAAAAACAATACTTGAAATAATTTTATTTGGTACAGGTAAAGTTTCTTCTCATTTGGTCAGAAAATTTTAGGATCTTCATAAAACAGACTTTGAAGTGTATCAACTGTTAATCAGACAGTATATAGTCCGGTTTGAATAAATCAGCGAATAATAATAGTCATGCCTATTCACTGATACGACTATTTGTGACTGAGAATTGTTCACAGTGCAGTTAAAAAACATAAACCATGTTTCAGTCATGACTGTGAACACTACTTTTTTTTCGGTACTTTTCATATTTTACAGTAAAACTCTCCCGTTGTTACGCTAAAATTTTTGCGTACAAGTCATTCAAGAATGAGTTTGTATGCATTCGAATCAGTGTTTTATTTGTATTCGGCAATAACTACCGCCTTTGATCTGCCCTTTAGCACTTATAGTAACCCTTATCATATATATTTGCTTCTTGGGACCGGTTTCGGTTCATAAGACGTTCCTTTAAAATGTATATGTCTAAATAAAATTGGCACGATATGTATTGGAAATAAATTCGTGAGTTTGGAATTTAGTAAAAAACACTTCACACTTCATTTATTTATCTGATGTTAAAAAATCGATGGACAGATTATTGGACCTCATTACTTGAGTAAATCTATCGTAATTCAGCAACTTTATTAGGCAGCTAACCATAACGTCTCTCGTTCAGATAGCTGATTATCAACATGTTTATTTGATCAAGGTAGTTTATTTTATTTCCGTGTTTGTATTAACATAAACGTCAATCAGTCATATTCATGTAATGTTAATTTCATCTGATTTTTCTAATCCGTCAGCACCAAGTTTGACTATTCATTGGATAAATGCTTAGTAATTTAACATGACAATAATATTTTCTTTTTCACGCAAACATTCTCAGAAACATTCATTGTTAACATTGTTCCAGTTTATATAAGTTGATTTAAGTCTAGAATAAGGACAATGGGGAGATGCTTTTAATATGAACTGGATGTAAAGCGGTTGTATGGATCAACAATGAATGAACAACAACACTTCGACGATAATAATCACATGAGGCTAAGAATTGAGAAAGCAGAATTTTTTAGACCTTCAAGGCGGTTATACAAGAAAACGTCACAGTATGTATATTATTGTAAAAGTAACCAATTAGAATAAATGTGAATTACATGGTATTGCGACATTACAAATGTCAAAGTAATATTAAGTGTGGAGAGAAGAAACAGTAATATTTGTTGTGGCTATACCACAAGTCAGTCAGTCAGTCAGTAACAACGTGAAACTTCGTACGTACGTATATCAGTTCGAGTCGTTATACCACATTAGCACAGAAATGCAGTTGTCGATTTAAATCCCGTAGTGATAGAGGTGGTGAGAGTATAAGCAGTAATCGGAAAGATTAGGGTTTGAAGATGTTACTAAAGTAATATGATCCAGAGAAATAGATTTGGAAAGAGAAAAAAAGAGACAAGGAGAATTCAGGAGATTAGAATTTGGTAGAACACAAAGAGTGGATGCACCTGCACTTTTGCAAACGATTTGAAGCCATGTCTTTCAAGGTCTCTAACCATCGGTCGCTATCATCTCGCGGTCCCCAACCAAGTAGTCTACACCTACCAACATGGCTCAGTCCACTTGTCAGTGACTTGATGGATTTGTGCCACGTTTTGGTCTGGCCGCCCCTAACTTTCTTCCAGCCTACTCCTACACTATAAAACATCGCACGTCGGGGCAGTCGGTGGTTGGGCACATGTCCCAGACACATCAACTGATGAAGCTTCACTACTTCATCAATTGATTTGCCATCCTTACCTAGTACCCGTTTCCTAAGAACTGCATTAGTTACTCAGTGGTCCCAGGATATACCATGACCGTTGTTGCTACCTTGACGTGATGGTCGGGCTTGCCTATCGTGAGGAAGCAACTGAGCTACACTGGCTGGAACAACCGTTCCTCAAGGTCCTACCATGCCAGACAGGTCAGTTGAAGAGCGGTAAGACTAAAAGCAACAAATCCAAACCCAAATGCCCTGATATGGCCGAGAGTGGGGTGGGTTCGCCCTCCCTCTCAAAATACTCTCACACGGCCACGCGTATATAGCCTCTGCCAGGGAAGTCCTACTCACTGCCTTCTCGTGGCGGGGGTGTTGTTTACGAAAATGAGAGGACGAAAAGCGAATGTCCGGCGCTATAACCGGATCCCAAACCAATGGTGCACATGGGCTCCAGTATCCTGCGGGAACAAATGGCGTATGAACCGATTTCTTGGTCACCGGCTTCCATGGGACTGCATCTCCTCACGATGCTCCACTGCCTTGTGGGTTAGACCTTTAGGTCGAAGGCTCGGTGTGTGGCCTCCTAAGAAAACCATCTGCTTCGGTTTGGGCACCCGGGCAGTATCACAGCCCACACACAAATATAATGGAAATGGTGATTTTCTCTGAAAACTCTGTTCACGCTGCGATTTATCGTCCAACAATTAATATTATTATTATTATTATTATTATTATTATTATTATTATTATTATTATTATTATTACCTACCACGTCATTTATTCGCTCTCTTTCATTCCCACTCTGTCTATCCTTATTTTTCGACTTATACAGCAGCTCGCCTATGGTGAAAATTCGGCTCTATCTAAACGTTCTTGAGTCACTGCCTGGTTGAAAATTGTATGTTACCATCGAATAAGAGTACTGAAGCAGTCTTTCTGAAACCATTTGCACCATTCAAACTGGCTGCCTTCAACATTCGCACACTTATGCAGGTCGGACAACAGATAGGACTGGCTATGTCTTTGGAAAGTCTTAATATCGACGTTTGTTGTCTATTTGAGACCCGTATTCAAGACTCTGGTGAAGTACTACAAATTCGCTCTACATCTGTCGCTTCAAAAAGCTTGTCTTACGTGTGTTTATCCGGGGACCCTGTGACATCTTCGTCTGGTCTTGCTGGCGTTGGTGTCGCACTAAGCGCAAGAGCTGAGGCAGCACTAATCGACTGGATCCCCATTAACAGTCGATTATGTGCTGTTAGATTAGAAAGTTCTATCAAAGTGAGAAGAAATCGGCGTGAGAAACGATGTCTTTTCGTCACCTCCACCTATGCCCCGACAGATTGCAGCCCGGATGCAATCAAGGATGAGTTCTGCCACCAGTTAACTGTTCTTCTCCAGAAAGTGCGTTCGACAGATATTGTAATACTAGCTGGAGACTTGAATGCTCAGGTCGGGCGTCTAGGCACAGAAGAGAGTCGTTTAGGTGGCCGATGGGGACTCGTTGGTCGCAGGACGAATAACGAGGAACGTCTACTGCAACTATGCACAGACCACAACCTGTTTCTGGTTAGCACTAACTTTCGGCACAGTCATCACCGATGTGCCACCTGGCGTCCCCCTTCTGCATCTCAAGCCTAGACTCAGATTGATCACATCGCGATCAGCTACCGCTGGCGTGGTTGTGTACAAGACTGCCGCTCCTTTTGGAGTACCTATCTGGAATCTGGTCTGCGCCAATCTTACCTTACTTTTCAGTTGTTTATTTTTATTTATTTATTTTAACACATAGATATCGGTACAAGAATGCACCAAATACATATGCGCCACACAGATCTCATTTGATATGTGTGAGGGCTGTGATACTGCCTGGGTGCCCAAACCGAAGCAGGTGGTTTTCTTAGGAGGCCACACCCCGAGCCTTTGACCTGAAGATCTGATCCACAAGGCAGTGGAGCATCGTGAGGAGATGCAGTCCCATGGTAGCCGGTGACCAACGATTGGTTCATACGCCATTTGTTCCCGCAGGATACTGGAGCCCATGTGCACCATTGGTTTGGGATCCGGTTATAGCGCCGGACATTCGCTTTTCGTCCTCTCATTTTCGTAAACAACACCCCCGCCACGAGAAGGCAGTGAGTAGGACTTCCCTGGCAGAGGCTATATACGCGTGGCCGTGTGAGAGTATTTTGAGAGGGAGGGCGAACCCACCCCACTCTCGGCCATATCAGGGCATTTGAGGGCACTTTTCAGTTTACAACGAAGTGACCGCCACCAGAGGATCGATGTTAGCAAGCTGGTTGCAACTTCTGTTGCTTGTAAGTACTGAACCGAGCTAGCTTCTAGGCTAGCTACCATTCCACCGAAAAGTGTAGATGAGCATTGGTTGCAATTGCATGACGCCATGAAAATGGCGGGTACAGTCTGTTCTGGGTTCGCGAAACGTCCCGCTTATAAGCACTGGGTTTCTTCTGGTTCCTTACAACTGATTGAAGCCCGTCAGTCTACTCCGGGTGACCGTGAGTTTGACTACAGACGAAGGGTGTTACGTAACGAAATCGGGCAAAGCTTGCGTAAGGACCGAGAAGCCTGGTGGTCGGAGCGTGCTAATGAGCTGGAAGCAGCAGCTGCATCTGGTAATTACCGGAAGCTCTTCCAACTCATCCGAGCCACTGGCAGCAAGAAGTCTGGTGTAAGCGAAACAATCTGCGAGGATGACGGAACGCCAATCACTAACATCCATCGACGTCTTGGACGATGGGCA